ATACAGAAGAATGAAACTCGACCATTCTCTAACACCATACACAAAGATAAACTCAAAATGGATGAAAGACCTCAATGTGAGACAGGAATCCATCAAAATCCTAGAGGAGAACATAGGCAAACAAACCTCTCTGACATCAGCCACAGCAACTTCTTTCAAGATACATCTTTAAAGGCTAGTGAAACAAAAGCAAAAATGAACTTCTGGTACTTCATCAAGATAAAAATCTTCTGCACAGCAAAGGAAACAGTCAACAAAACAAAGAGGCAACCCACAGAATGGGAGAAGATATTTGCAAATGACACTACAGACAAAGCACTGATTTCCAAGATCTACAAAGAACCTCTCAAACTCAACACCCAAAAAATAAATAATCAAGTCCAAAGAATGGGCAGAAGACATGAACAGACACTTCTCCAAAGAAGACATACAAATGGCTAACAGACACATGAAAAAATGTTCATCATCATTAGCCATCAGGGAAATTCAAATCAAAACCACACTGAGATACCATCTTACACCGGTTAGAATGGCAAAAATTGACAAGGCAAGAAACAACAAATGTTGGAGAGATTGTGGAGAAAGGGGAACCCTCTTACACTGTTGGTGGGAACGCAAGTTGGTACAGCCACTTTGGAAACAGTGTAGAGGTTCCTCAAAAAATTAATAGAGTTACCCTATGACCCGGCAATTGCACTATTGGGTATTTACCCCAGAGACAAGATGTAGTGAAAAGAAGGGCCATATGCACCCCAATGTTCATAGCAGCAATGTCCGCAATAGCCAAACTGTGGAAAGAGCCGAGATGACCTTCAACAGATGAATGGATAAAGAAGATATGGTCCATATATACAATGGAATATTACTCATCCATCAGAAAGGATGAATACCCAACTTTTACATCAACATGGATGGGTCCGGAGGAGATTATGGTAAGTGAAATAAGGCAAGGAGAGAAAGTCAATTATCATATGGTTTCACTATTTGTGGAACACAAGGAATAGCATGGAGGACATTAGGAGAAGGAAGGGAAAAATGAAGGGTGGGAAATCAGAGGGCAAGACGAACCATGAGAGACTATGGACTCTGAGAAACAAACAGGGTTTTAGAGGGGAGAGGGGTGAGGGGATGGGTTAGCCCGGTGATGGGTATTAAGGAGGGCACGTACTGCATGGAGCACCGGGTGTTACATGAAAACAATGAATCGTGGATCACTACATCAAAAACTAATGATGTGTTGTATGGTGACTAACATAATATAATTAAATTAAATTAAATTTTTAAAAAATTATTGATTACCCCTTCTGAATTGTTCTGAAGTTTTCACTTTTTGCTGTCCTGGCTGATAAAGTTCAGGTCCTATCATGCCTCACTTGAAATGCTACAAAATACATTCCTTCAATCTAATCACTCTTTCTTTCTTTTTTTTTTTTAATTTTATTTATTTATTCATGAGAGACACAGAGAGAGAGAGAGAGGCAGAGGGAGAAGCAGGCCCCCAAAGAGCAGGGAGCCCGATGCGGGACTTGATCCCAGGACCCTGAGATCATGACCTGAGCCGAAGGCAGACGCTTAACCATCTGAGCCACCCAGGCACCCCTAATCACTCTTTCTAATCCATCTTTTTCTTTGTTGCAAAAGTGATTATTTTAAGACAGAAATATTATCATGCATATGTCTGTGAAGAGGTGGGATAACAGGCAAGAATTTTGGTTGGGTAATGTAAAAGTTCTACAGAGATCTATACTCAAAAGTGTAACAATCCTCACCCCCACAAGCTCATCAGCACAGAATAGCTAAACCATACCATCTACTATTTAATTCTGATAAAAAAATCAACTTATAAGACAGTAAGAGTTGTACATGATTATTTGACAGACACAAAATCTATCAAATAGCTATAGACCTTTTCCTTGTATCTCAAAAAGCTGAGGGCCAAAATGTGGTTCAATTATATCATCTGATTCTTAACTCTTATGGCTTATTTATTTTTGGTCTATTATATTTCTTACCTGTATTTTCTATTAAAAATTATATTTCCTTGGTTTCCTTAGTCTTAACTTTATTTTTAGTTTTATTGATGTAATTCACATATCACACAATTTACCCATTTAAAGTGTATATTCAATGGCTTTTAATATATTCAGAGTGTTGTGCAACTGTCATCACAATTAATTTTAGAACATTTTCATCACCTCAAAAAGAAGGCCTGTACCCATGAAGCAGTCCCTATTTCTTCCCAAACCCCCTAGACTTAAGTCATCACTAATCTGCTTTCTGTATATACAGATTTGTCTATTCTGGATACCTCATACAAACGCAACCATAAAATATGTGGTTTTATATGACTGGCTTCTTTCACTTAGAATATGTCCAGGGTTCATCCATGTTGTAGTATATATCAGAATTTCATTTTTTATTATTGAATAATATTCCATATGGCTATACCATATTTTATTTGTCCATTCATTAGCAGATAGACATTTGGACTGTTTCTACTTTTTAGGCTATTATGAATAAAGTTTCTGTGAATATTCATGCACAAGTTCTTGTGTGGAAATGTGTTTCCATTTTTCTCAGGTATGCATACCTAGGAGAGGACTGCTGGATCAAATGTAACGTTTTGAGGTACTGCCAAACTATTTTCCAAAGCACCTTCACCATTTTAAATTCCCACCAGCAATGTGTGAGAGTCCCAATTTTTCCATATCCAACACAAAAGTTATTATCAGTATTTTTAATTATAGCCATCCTAGTGGGTATGAAGTGATTCTCATTCAAACTGACTCGCATTTCCTTAATGGATAATGATACTGAGCATCTTTTCATGTGCTTATTGGCCATTTATATATCTTCTATGGAGAAATGCCTGTTTGGATCCTTTGTTCATTTTTAAATTGGGTTATTTTTTCCTTTTATTGTGAGTTGTAAGAATTCTTTTTTTTTTTTTTTAAAGATTTTATTTATTCATTTGAGAGGGAGAGAGATAGCGAGAGAGAGAGCACAACTGGGGAGGAGAGGGAGAAGCAGGCTCCCCGATGATCAGGGAGCCCAACGTGGGGCTCAGTCCCAGGACCCTGAGATCATGACCCGAGCCGAAGGCAGATGCTTAACCAGCTGAGCCACCCAGGTGCCCCAAGAATTCTTCATATATTCTGGATACAAGTCCCTTGTCAGATATATAATCTGCAAATATTTTATCCCATTCTATGGATTGTCTTTTCATTTTCTTTATGGTGTCTCCTGACTTTGTTTTTTTTTTTTTTTAAAGATTTTTATTTATTTGAGAGAAAGAATGAGAGAGAGAGAACACATGAGAGGGGGGAGGGTCAGAGGGAGAAGCAGACTCCCTGCTGAGCAGGGAGCCTGATGTGGGACTCGATCCTGGGACTCCAGGATCATGACCTGAGCTGAAGGCAGTCGCTTAACCAACTGAGCCACCCAGGCGCCCCCTGACTTTGTTTTTAAACTTGTATGAATTTTTTGCAAGTTCCTTCAAACTTTGAAAATTAAAATGTTTAAAAGTTTTGTTATATTTTAACATCTTACTGAAAATCTTTCAGAGACTCCCAACACATTCAAGAGAAAATAAAAATCCCAGTCCTTAAGGCCATTCATGATCCAGACTATGACCACCTCCTTCAATTTAGATACTGTCTCTCTCACATATGCCTTACCCCTCAGTTTACATGCCCCAAACCAAATTCTTGATCTTTGCCCGCAATGTTTTTCCTCAGTGTCTCGCATTTTAATAAATGGCAAAACCATCCTTCTAGTTGCTCATGCCAAAACCGTGGAGTCAGTCTTAACAATTTCATACTCTACCATTCAATCCATCAACAAATAACAGTCCATCCTGTTAGTTCTGCTTTCAAAATATATGCAAAATCTGACCTCTCTACCTTTACTCTTACCACTCTGGTCCAGTATCTCTTGCTTAGATTACAACAACAGTCTCCTAAATATAATTTCCCTAATTCCTTGTCTCTTCATAATCTATTCTCAACACAGTAGCCAGGGTGATTCTTTTAAAACCTAAGTTGTAGGGGCGCCTGGGTGGCTCAGTTGTTAAGCATCTGCCTTCGGCTCAGGTCATGATCCCAGGATCCTGGGATCGAGCCCCGCATCGGGCTCCCTGCTCGACGGAAAGCCTGCTTCTCCCTCTCCCACTCCCCCTGCTTGTGTTCCCTCTCTCGCTGTGTCTCTGTCAAATACATAAATAAAATATTAAAAAAAAAAAAAAAAAAAAACCTAAGTTGTATCATGTCACCCTTTCAACCTTTCAAAGGCTTTCCAATCCACTCATAGTCACCTACAGTGTCTTATGTGATATGGCCTCTGCTTCTTCTTTCACTTCCTCTCCTTTCTCCTCCTCCCACACTCCACTCCTGGAACCCAGGCCTTCTTGCCTCAGGCCTTGCTCCAGCTATTCCCTCTACCTGGAATACTCTTCTCTCCTGTGAGTGACACATCTAGCTCTGTCTCCTTCTTTAGGTCTCTGCTCAAATTTTAGTTACAACTTCTCTGACAACACTAGTTAAAATAGTGAGCCTCCATTCCAATACTCTCTCACCCCCATCTTACTTTTTTTCTATAGCTTTCATTACCACATAGAATAGTATAAATTTACTCACTTATTTATTGTCCACCTCTTCCAACTAGAATGTGGACTTGATGAAGGCAAAGATTTTGTTTTTAATCAATTTCATTCATTACAATATATCTCTAGCAACTAGCATACTTTTGGCATATAATGATTCCTCAACCAACCATGAATAAATGAACACCTGAATTTGTGGGCTAATAATCATTCCAGCTATATAACTACTAGAACATAGGGTTTTCAAAAGCACAACTTTAAAATGTTAGTTCTTACATTTCTCTATGGCATTTCTGATAGTCTTCTGAAGGCATACCTAGGAAAAGAAAAAAAACAATCTATTAGAAATATAATTCAAACAGAGAGCAGAGGCCAAAATTAGGTAAAAAGAAATAGTCTCTCTAAAATATATGGTAATAGGGACGCT